GTGAAAACCCTTGTAATAATTCTGTTGCCGTGTGTTGGTCTGGATAAAATCTTAAATAGTTGTCTAATTGTAAAATCTGAATAGGGGTAGTAACTCTGTTACTAATGTCTAAATGGCTGCACTGGTTTTGCATTGTTTGTGGCTGTTGCCGAGTAGGCCCGTCCAGCTGACTGTTGAACACTGGGCTTAAAGCTGAAACGATTTGCAGGTAAACTGAATGAACATTTAATCAACGGGTGATTAAGTGAACAGCGAATGCCTAGGTGTTTATAAAAACATGGTCTTTTTTGACAAGAACTCCGAAAATTAAAATCGTAACGTTTGTTCCCTTGATCTTTGCTGTTATAATTGTTGGATGCTAATGTGGGTTGCATGTACAAAAACCATAATTCCTGGTCTACGTTTGCAAAAGAAATATTGGGGTTTAGTCCTTTTCTTAGACGAAATTAAATGTCGTAGTCACGCCAACCAAGTCCCGATGACCTACTAGCACCTAAACGGTTTGTGTGCATATACTTGAATAAGGCAGTGGAGTGGCGCATTCTGGGTGTGCCGTCACATATATAGACGAATATACAAGAAAAAGATTTGTCCAGACTTAGATATCCGTTATAGCTTTGACCTTGTTCTTTGGGGTGATTGCCAGATTGCCCTCTTTAAATGACAGATACTGCGTTTCGTCATCCGGATCTGAGAAATTTGGCGACAATTTCGCTAAATTTACGTATTGCCAACTCAAAGCTATAACTGGGCACTAGCCCTGCATGATATTCATCAGCCCCATAAAATCAGAACAAATTGAATAAAAAATGTCATTACCTGGGCTGTTTTGGTCGCCTATAGGAGGATCCGAGACTCTGACGGGAATGGTAGAAGGTTGAGGTACCCTGTCGGCTAACCCCGCCGAGATTGCATCCGTTGTAGCCTTCATCTGGGCGTCGCTCAGAATTGCCGGCGGTCCTTCACTCGTGTCGATGGCTGTGGCCTTGAAATTTGGATGCGACCTTCACCGACCCCGGCTTGTGTCTGGCACATCTTCGTGCGTGGTCAAACTGGTGTCTGGGAAGTGGTCTTCCTCTTCGGCATTTTGTTGTAAATATACCAAAGTCCAAAAATAAGTAAAAACAACGTACCATACGTTCGGTAAGTCACACACACACACAAAAATGCTCTTATCGGAAAGTTGGGAATTTAATTCTTTCAGGCTGTCTGGTGGTGTCAAAAATTGGAAATACAACGCTCATGAATCCATCCCGTCCAACCTCATGACTTTTCACGTGTAGAATGCAAAAAGTACACAGGGAGACTGCAGGGAGGCCGTGACGTCATATTTCACACTAATGCCCGATCATGAACTAGGGGTGAATAAAAACCCGATAAACCCGTGAAAATGTCATTAACGCTATTTATGCTTTGATAAACCGATTTAACTTAAATGAGTTAAATCCAAGTAAGTTATGTGTACTCGTATACGGATTAACCATCAGCCTAATTTTAGTATGTGACTATGGAGAATGTTTTGTTTGTTTGTTTGTTGTTTAACGTCCCTCTCGAGAATTTTCACTCATATTGAGACGCCACCACTTGCCGGTGGAGAGCTGCAAATTTTGACCTATGCTCGGCACTTAGGACCATTGAGCAGTGAGGGATCTTTTTCGTGCCAGCACCTACTGCGACACGGGACCTCGGTTTATACGGTCTCATCTGAAGGACCGGTCTCCACGTCCCACAGTGGGATTCGAACCCGCGACGTAAGGATCAACTCCTTATTCCGCTACTCTAGAGCAGACGCTCTACCACTGCGCCACGCGGGCGACAACCATGGAGAATGAAAACGTTTTAAATACTATGGATAAAGTTAATTATTCAAAAGAAAAATTGCATGTAAATCGTTTTTAGGGTTTTGTACAATTTCTGTATTTAAATTGAAATCTCATGAGCTTTTACATTAATGATATGATGGAGATACCTAAATTCATTACAGAATGTCCATCAGGATATTTTGGAGTAAATTGCGATCAACGATGTAGTAGACACTGTGCTTATAATGAAACATGTGGTAAAGTCAATGGCAGTTGTCCTCGAGGATGTCAGAAAACCTATATGGGGTATCAATGTCAGTGTAAAGCTTTAGAATGTGAGTAAGTTTATTAACTGTTAAGAATATTGTATGAAGATACATATGTGCTATAGAAATTAATGCGTCCATCAATCTGTCCACTTCCTTCTACATCTGTCAATCCTTTGATACAAAACAAAACATTCTTATCTATTTGCTATGGAAACAAAATGCAGACTTGAGGGTAGGAAAACATCCTTTGTTTTTGTTTCACTTTATCAAAGGTCAAGATATATAAAAAACAAGATGTGTTTGTGAAACACTGATGCCCCCGTATGGTTTAAGTTTCTCAAATGCAAATCAAACTCCAGGTCAAGAAATCAAAAATGTTGGTACCCAAAGAGAGGTCTTGTCTCGAGAAATATACCTGTGAAATATGAAAGCCCGAGTAAAAACCGTTGAAAAGTTATGGCGAAGGTTAAAGTAAAACGGCAAGGTCAAGGTCAAATGGTGCCCAAGGGAAGGTCTTGTCACAAGTGATAAACATGATCGTGAAATGTGAAAGCCCAAGAACCAAATGTTTAAATGTTATGGCCAAATTATATTTTTTTTAAGGATAGGTCAAACTCCAAGGTCAATGCCAAAATTGTTGGTATCCAAAGGAAGGTCTTGTCACAAGGAATATACATGTAAAGTATGAAAGCCCTAACACTTACTGTTAAAAAGTTATTGCCAAGGTTAAAGTTTTTCAAAATTAGGTCAAACTCCAAGGACAAGGTCAAAGGGTGAAAGCTGTTGGTATCTAAAGGAAGGTCTTGTCACAAGAAATGCATATGTGAAGTATGAAAGACCTAACATCAAATGTTCAAAAGTTATGGCCAAGGTTAAAGTTTTTCAAAAGTAGGTCAAACTTCAAAGTCAAGGTCAAAGGGTCACAGTTGTTTGTATCTAAAGGAAGATCTTCTCACAAGGATAGATATTTAGTATGAAAACCCTAGCACAAACTGTTCAAAAGTTATGGCCAAGGTTAAAATTTTTCAAAATTAAAGTAGGTCAAACTCCAAGGTTAAGGTCAAAAGGTCAAGATTTTTGGTATCCAAAGAAAGGTATTGTAACAGGGAGTACACATGCGAAATATGAAAGACTTAGCTCAAATTGTTCAAAAGTTATGGCTAAAGTTAAAATTTTTCAAATTTAAAGTAGGTCAAACTCCAAGGTCAAGGTTAAAAGGTCAAGATTTTTGGTATCCAAAGAAAGGTATTGTAACAGGGAGTACACATGCGAAATATGAATGACTTAGCTCAAATTGTTCAAAAGTTATGGCCAAGGTTAATGTTTTTTCAACAGTAGGTCAAACTCCAACGTCAAGGTCAAAGGGTCAAAGATTTTGATACCCAAAAAATGTCTTGTCACAAGATTTATACATTTGAAGTTTGAAACCCTCAGCTTCAACTGTTCAAAAATTATGGCCAAGGTTAAAGTCTAAACTTTGCGAAAGCGGGTCAAACTCCAAGGTCAAGGTCAAATATGATGGTACCCAAAGAAAGGTCTTGTCATAAGAAATACACATGTGAAATATGAAAGCCATAGCTCCAACCAATCAAAAGTTATGGGCAAAGTTAAAGTTTTTGCGGACAAACAGACAGACAAACAAACGGACAGGGCAAAAACTATATGCCCCCGAATCTTCGATTACGGGGGCCTGAAAATTTACAATGCCCAATCATGTTTTTACTTTAATGACTAGAACATTAAACTACTGCCATCATGGGTCATCCTTATAGTCTGCTTGTTTCTGAAATAGTTAACAAACTGTTTCAGAAACATATGTGTTGACTGTACATTTTATAACATTAATTTACAAAGCTTAGGTTATGCATCTATGTATCACAGACGTTTTATAGACATGACTTAATAATCTTTTAATCCCAAAAAAGGATAAAATACAATCGTATAATTATGTAAATGACAATTGAAAAATATAAATACTAAAAAGCTGATATATGATACTGTCTTCGTAGAAAGTGCGCATTTTCTCGTCTGAAAGGTTCATTCTCTATAAGGCCGTTTTCCGGCCTACGTTGAAATCATTCTAAAATGTGTTTTTATGTTATTTTTATCCTTCTATAATATGATTTTGGTCCTCATTTTCCAACATCGATCGTGTGAGTCACGTGATTTATAAAATAAAAATGGCGGCCAAGCTTAAAAATATTGAGGGTATGTCTATTTAAACTTTGTTTTTATGCATGGTTTTTGAAATAATGTAGAATAAGTCATATAAATATGAAGTAAATAAATTATATTAAAAATTTAAATGTAAAACTCGTACAAATTAAGGTTAAAATTAAAATAACATGACGCAACATGTTGCCCATTCACATTTTGTATATTTTAAATTTAAATCTTTAGAAAATGCTCACCTTATGACATGAGTAAATCTTTTATTATCATTTATTTGGCCAAAATACTTTATTTTAGAATCAATTGTTATTGTGTGTCATTTTTATCGACACTTTACCTTTATTTCCTATAATATGCCAATTTAGAAATATGGTAGCGAATTATCTATTTGTGATTTAGCCAAGAAAACCTTCATTACAGACTATATTTAGACCAACCAAATGAGCCATCGGTGTAAAAAAAAACAGTTAAAATGTATCTTCTTATGTATATAAAATAAAATAAATTCATTAAAAATGCTTTGTTTTCATTTAAATATACCTGTTAGGTATCATATTAATATCCAATGAATAGGAAATGCTATATGTCTTAAGTATATGTATTAAACGGGATAATAAAAGTTCTGAAAACGGATCAAAATCACGTATCTAATAAATAATAATAATAAAAAAAACATTACCGGGTAAGTTTATACTTAATTCACAAAGGAACTAAAATGTCGGTATGTTGTGATCCAAATTTGACTAAATAAATACATTTACTCTGACCCTACTCCAGACAACCAGTCACAATCCGCTGCGTCTTTTGTATAATCAAAAAAGGGTCGTGGTACCAACTTACCATCTTGATGTCGCTGGAAAGACAAATACCATAGCACAGCAGCAATATGTGCACAGCAGCCTAATGTGCGAGCTCCTGATTTACACTGACAATACCAGCCTGTTATTGGATTTCTTTTCTCACTATCATATGAAATCCACAGTATGTAAGTTTTCGAAGAACTATGTCTTGATTGTAACTTGGCTTTCAATAGACCATCGTCTTGTTTGTGAACAAATAATTCATATTTGCCTTCAGGTGATATATGTTCAATTGTATACGCCTTTGCCTGCTTTAATTGATATACTCCGACTGTAATATTTCTAAGAGCATCCTCTGAAAGACGAGGAAAATCCTCCATATCAAATCCATCAACTGACTCCCATACACTTCTTTTAGCTGCAAGTTTTTCATTTTCCACCCGTTTTTGTAACTCATTAGTTGTTTTTGACAGAAATGACATTCGAATTGCTAGCTCCGTGTCCTCAAACTCAGAATTTCTTATCGGAGGTCTGTACTTATTGCACAATGCACATACAATACGTACATAATCACCAACAAATTGTATCTGTGTATTTGGCATCACTTGGCCCAAAGCTTTCCATCGCTTCCATTCACTGACTCGACAACCCAACGTACCTTTGTTACCATTCTGGACTCGTTTGCTTCTTCAGTAGAGTGCTGTTTTTTCCCCTTTTCTAAGTAGCACGGCATCTGAGTTCTAAACCCCATTTGTTGTAAGAAATCTCTGCAGTCTCTAAATCCTCTGTCCAGAACAAATATATCTCCATCTGAAAGCCAAGTTTTTAATCGTTCAGTGTCATTTTTCATTATACTGGTTAAGATCGAAGCATCATTATTGCGTCCATCTGCTAAGTAAGGACCAATAGCGTCTAGTATGTAGCCATCAGTACCAACTATCATCATTGGCTTCAGGAGCGGTCGACTTTTGTAAGCACTGTATGTTCGGCGCTGGAAACTGTAGTTTGAACTCTTTTCTATATAAATGTATGTGCCATCTATGACAAGGGCTGTGACATCTTGGCCATCTGCAAATAGTTGCTTTACAAAAGCAGTAGTGTGTTCCCTAATAAACTCGTCCCTAGAAATATGCTGAGTGCCCAAATGCTGGGGAACAAATTCTTTCATTAGAACAGCTCTTGCACTGTGGATTGCTTTTGATATGTACTGTACATTAGGTATCTGGAACATACTGCTCATCACTTTTAGGGACACTCCTGTTCGCAGTTTTGTCAACAGGAGTCCTAAACATGTCCTAGCTGATCTGACTGATGTGTTTCTCAAAGATGGAAGATATGTTACTAAATTGTCAAATTGCTGTTTAGTGAGACCTGTCAAGTGAATATAATCAGTGTCTGATAATCCAAGAGGGTTATCAAAGTCGATTCCTTTCGGCTTGTTCAACACATTCATGCGAACATTGTGAAGCAACGTCATTAAATCTGTTCTGTTGAACATGATGTGGTCTGTCACCTTCGAAAGCATCTTTTTGCATTCTTCTTTTAACCCACCCTCACTAAAATGTTTCTGACAACACCTGGTACCTTCAGGTAAGATTGTACCAGTTTCTATGAAAAATTTTGTCCTTGTGTCTTCATTTATTACGACAAGATCTTCCCTCTGAGTACAAAATTGACATTTTGCATGTGAAGACATACTACGAGGGACTTCCAACTTAATAACCTTTGGACTACCAAATGCAAAGGATGAAGAAGTCTGCTCTTCCTCCACGTCAGTATCATTCTCTTCGCTTTCATTCATATTTCGTTTTTTGTGGTAATACGTCATTCGGCATTTATTACATAGTAAGTATCCTGATTCGTCTGCCTGATAATTTATTTTTGACGTGATGTAATCATAGAGTTCTTTGTTGATAGTCTCTTTGATATATCTCGAACCTGATAAACTACGTTGTCGTAGGTTGCAAATGCAACAGATAGGGTATTGTTGATCTTTACTGGATTCCATAAGTATGAAGAAGGGTATTTGCCCCTATTCAGGTCCGGATTGCGTTCTCAGCACGGCTGAGGCAATTAAAGCCAGGACACTGTCCCTCCCGCTCACCGGCACTCCATAGAAACCCGCAAGATTTTCAACAGCTCCTTCCACTACTCATGTAGAGAGCTTCAGTATGTCTACGATCAAGCAGGTTTCTGCAACTTCCAATAAGGAAGGGCTCCCCTGACTTCTGGTTTGCTAAACCAGAGTCGCAGTTCTCAAAGCTTGTATTGCTACCAAAGATGCGTGTTGGCTCCCCAAATCCGCAGATGAAGTTCACCTCAGCATCCAGATAACATACAATACTTCGACCCTGTCTCACTCATACGGAGAAAATATGAGCGTCTCTCTGGCAGGTTGGGTCGAGAAATTCCATTATGAAAGATATTCTTCATGCCAGTAACCGTTTTTATCTAAATATCTTTAGTAACACAACGAACATAAATTAACTCATCATCTTTGCACAACCACAAAAAACGGACGTACTTCTAAATAATATATCAAGAGGTATGAAAGAGAAACGAAACAATAAGAATCCGTGCCATATAAGACATTAAAAAAGTACATACATTTGTCGCTGACAATTCAATCATCATGTGAAAAGCAAGATTTTATTTCATGACACTCAGTCTTTTCAGGCCTTTGATTATATATTTTTTAAAATAAAACTCAACATTTTCTAGTGAAAATTGCATGGCTTATTTTAATTCTTATGGTATCCACAGAAAGTGTCACTCTAACTAAAAAGTAACCAGATAAAATAATCTACAAACGCTGATAGCCTCCATAATGAGTAGATACCTTTTCGTCTAATTATTGCTAAAAATATTGCGTAAAGTTTTTATTAAGATGTCATAACCACCTTTAACCAAGTTCATCTTTTTCTAGTGACTTTTTATAGCTTTAAAAAGTTTACATTCAAATTTTGGTGCTGGTTAAAGGTGGTTATGACATGTGTAGGAGTTGTCAAACACACCAACCCTCTTATGTTTTCCCATTGCGCTAATGTTAATACGGAGCGATGGTACATCACTTTGAGACCCCATATCATAAAAAAATACTAGAGGATTTAGTAACCAAACAAGTTTTAGCATTAAATTGGATCTTTAGCCCGCTAATTCATACAGTTTTTAAGGGGGAAAATATATTTTGAAATTTTGGAGTCATTGTAGGCCGGAAAACGGCCTTATAGAGAATGAACCTTTAAGTTCGATTAGTTTGTTGATTTGTCCTTATTTCCTGAAGTTGAATTTTGGATAAATGATAATATTGCTAATATCACTTCTGGTTAAAGTTTACTGGGTAACATTATATTCATTATTTTTGTGTCTTTTTATGATCATTTAAGACTTTTGAACAGACTTTGCGCTCGAGTATATCTTATTCAACCTTTTAGGCAGAAAAAAGAAACTTTAAATAAAATTAATGAAAAATCATTAAGAATAATAAAGATAAAAAAACCATATCTAAGTGAGGAAGTATGAAAGTGATTGAAATGATTCCTTCTTATACTTGGATGATTGTGATGTGTGTTTATTGCAATGAAAGGTTTTTGTATTTAAAAAAGTAAATTTTTATGCAGCTGAAGTGACTGACAGTATACAAGCTGATCTTACGGATAGCAAGTCTATTGGATTGTTTCTATCAATTGCTTTGAACATTATTTTCCTTTTTGCTGTGTTACTGCCTGTGACAAGGTAAGGGATATTTATTTCGTTACCAAATGGGTTAATTTTTATATTTTAAGTTCAGTTATGGATTGTAAATATGTATAATTTTTATTTCAGAGCACAACTCAATAAAAGAAAGTCTCAGAAAGGCTCAAAAGCAATTCGTGATACAGAAACCTATCAAACAATAAATGACACTGACCAACAGTACTAAGATCTAGGAAAGTTGAATCCATCTCCCAATTACAAGGACTTGCGTCCAGTAGAAATAAATGTTCTGAACACAATTATGCAATAAGAAAAACCGAGTAGGGAATATTCCAGAGATCACATTTATTCAATATTATGCTACACTGTACATGTACAATTACATATATTATTTTTGCAATTGCAAATATAATGGACGATTGTATATTTTATAATATTGGACACTTTACTGATATGAACTTCGTGAATTTTTTCCCATTCTAAAAGATCCTTATCAACAAAACAAAATATGTGTATATTTTTCATTTCTTAACCAATGGATTTAGATATGATACACTATAGTTACAACCCCAAAATTATTATACAAACAGTTAGCCTTATAGAACAATGTCATTTCTTGTTCTTGAAGATTGATTGTTCTTGACTTAGTAAGTCTATGAATAAAATGTGAAAGTGAGTTTATATGCACTTCATCTTATGCTGAAATCAGCTTTGTGGAATTTGCCGCTTGAATCAATGTCTATAATATATATATATATATATATATATATATATATATATATATATATATATATATATATATATATATATATATATATATATATATATATATATATATATATATAATCACAACATCGAAATGAATTCTACCGGTTTCATTTTCAGTCTTCAGGTATTTAACTACATATTACTTACTGACATGTAGTTACACATAAATACAAAGTCAACATTCTTACTGTGACGTCAAAATGCGCTAAAATCAATTTAGACTTTAGCAAAGTTCATTATGACTTCATGACATAACGTAAGTAATTTAATTAATTAAATTTTTTTCATACAAATACAGCTGTAACACAGATACATAATATTATTATACATATTACGGGAAAAAGTATATGCCTGATACAAAATATTATCATTGGGATTTAACCACTTTAGGTTAAATATATTTATCAAAGTGAAATAATTGTTAGTGGTCTGGTCTGGTCGACTTGGCGACTTTTGTGGTATTTATTTGTTTCATTCATAATTTGGGATATTAGTAGCACCTAGCGGAGAACTCTGACGTCAGCTAACGTATTCGTCATCAGTCTCTGCTGAAACTGATGTCTTGAAAGTACAAGAGGGTTTTTTCGTAAATTTATGTTGGCTATTTCATAGTATATTTATACGCGTTGACTTACTTACATGTACGAGGGTTGTCCCAGAAAAATGCGAACTTTTTGAATATTTCAGAAACTACTCTACCAAAACTAATAATTTTTTGCACGTTGTTGGAAAAGGATATTTTCGGTATCTTGACAAATATTTTAGGCTTGTGATTCATAAGTATATAAAAACAGGATATTAAGGGTGTTAAATATCGGTGGTCGGCACACGGCAATTTTTGGACTTTTAAAAGTAGCATTTTCAATGAAGTTTTCTTTATTACTAAGCTATACAGAAACAAAATGTCACAAAATTTACCTCCATTAATACTCTTTGATCTGATGTGCTCGTGTATAAAAATTCATTAATTTGACATTATTAATGACAAATATATGACGTTATATGCCAAAGCACTTTTAATTAGATATTGTCAAAAATGGTGACGTTTGGTGATAATGTGGAACACGAAATTATTAAGCAGTACTGTGTTGAGCGGGATATGACTCCTATCCATAAGATAAAAGAGATGTTAACGATGGAAAAACAGGAACATAAATCTAGGACACAGGTTTATTCCCAGTTGAAGAGGTTTTATGATGGCTTGACTGATTATACGATAGAAGAGGCGTTTTGTAGACCAACAAAAATGAGGACAATCTGAAAGTCAGGAGCTGGATGTCATTTGCGTAAGTGAAGGCCGCCGTTAAAAAATGAGAACTGTTAGGTTTATGATCGGGATTGAGAAATTGTCTATTAAAAGCATTAATTCCGCAATCTTCTGGTAACACTAGTATTTGAGATGTATAACTTGGAAACTAAAAGAAAATTAAATACAGTGCCGAATTTATGCTTAATTGAATTTTATCAGAAGCACATTTCCAGAAAAAATTCACAAACGCCACGAGCTACGTTCTGACGTCGTCAGTGTTGCGCCGACAACTGATTTGTAAGATTCGTTTACATGAGAGAAAAATGTTATTTTTGAAGATATTTCATTGTAAATTTTATAAATTAAAAAAAAATATTGACTGATTTATACCATTTTTTAACTTTATAGTATTAGCGAAACAAAAGATATTGAAAATGTTCGCGTATTTCTTGGACAACCCTCGTAAAAACTTCTTTTATGTGGAAATTACTAAAACTATGATTTTTGGGACGCATTTGATTGATATATATCCTTGCACTTTCACAAAGTAAACTTTATCAATAATACGTAAGAAAAGTAAAAAGTATGTTGTGAACTAATGAAACACATGAAAACTATAGTCAGAAAGTTCAGATTGAAAATGCAAGAAAGAAAAACCAACTCACCAGTATTGTCAGTCCGTGCTCAGTGATTTATACAAACTAAACAAGCTGAACACTCCCGTTTAAACGTAGACACTTACAATAACAGTTCATGCCCTGTTTACAAACACAGGTGTTTGAGGTAATGTTATGAAGAATTTCGTTGTCATTGAGTTCTTTGAATATCCATGTATGTTCAAATCATTGTACCGAAGTTATTCTTTTTAATAAAAATAGACATTTATAGAATTGTAAACAATGTAACTGTGTTCAGAGCCCCTTTTACCTTTCTATCGTCAACTTCCCTTATTTATGTAGCAATATACTATTTTTACTTAAATAAAAAGTTTACGATTGATTTGATACGCAAGAACATGCTCTATGTATGAACAATTTCTAAAACGAGGCAAGCTATTGACAAGAAAATCGATGATACACGGGTATTAACAGTCCCGTTTACAGTAAATATTTTGC